GATGATTGGTTCCATAACGTGATTGAACGGCTCCTCGAGTGACACGGTCTAAACCTTGTTTGTTACTTACTAAGACACTTGTTTGGTCTGGTGTTGACAGAGATAGCTCTCTAAAGAGGCTTCTATTTCTTTCAGTTGCTTTTGCAAAAAAAAATTACCTTACTGGGCCAAGATTTTTTTGGCTGGTTGTGTTTCTTGGTTGTTATTGTTTTTTTAGCGGCGCCCGAAAGGGGAAAAGACGCAATTAGTATTGTGTAAAATGTCTGTCCGTCCGACCCGTTTAGATCTCGTAAACTAGAAAAGATAGTGAAAATCCGACATCCAAATATTTTAGACCATTCAAAGTTCTGATACAACGGCCTATTTTTTTCTTTTCCGAAAGCGAAAAATCTTATTTTTAAAATCAATCATGCAAGCAGTTTTTTCATAAAAATACAGCATTTTTACAACTATTCACTATTAATAGTAATAAATACGGGAGGCTTTTTAGTTAGGGTGAAACAAATTCAACACATTTAAACACATTTATGCAAATGGTATTAAATTTTTTGGTCAATTTCTTTTTATTAATAATTTTTTTTACAATTCTATTGCTAAGCTATGTAAGTTCAGTCATACTCACTTTTTTTTTTAGTAGTAGCATTGCATAGTATCGCGTGAACTGCAGAGTTACTATATCGCCATGGAACACTAAACTAAAGGAATTTTTTTTACGGAAATTATTTTTCTTGAGGCTTTAATTAGAGATTGACCCTTTACAAAACAATTATAGATCAATTAGATGCTCATGATATTTAGTCTAGGTTCACATCTAACTTCACTTTCACATATCCCTTGATCTGCTGGACCTTTGGGGCACCACACAAGGATGTGTCAACCTTCTTTCTTCATTCTTCTCGGTCATTTGCCTTTGATAGAATTTCATTCTGAAAATATTGACACCTACCTTTTTACCTGCCTGGGTCGACCACTTCTGATAGAATTGAATTCTGATATTCTTTTGAAAATATTGACACCTGCCTTTTTACCTGCCTGGGTGGACCACTTCGGGGGCCGATTTTGAGTTTGTGTTTTCCACACAAACTGTCATTGTAACCTTGTTTTTTTTAATAAATACATTTAAAATGCGATTGAGGTAAATTTCATCCAGACATCTCTATTTCCCCCGCCCCTCCCATTTTCTAACTGGTCCAGATAAGTGAATAGGATCACAGTGCATTGAGGAAGTTGAAACATGAAATTGCTCTAAACAAAATTAATTGGTAAAAATATGTATAATCTCACAGAGTTATTATTGTTGGTCTAGATTTATTACAAATTTAATACATGGCTGATCCAAGCTAATTGATATAATTACACTTAGTATAAGCTTTTTTCAAAAATGTTTTTCTTGCTTATGGGATACCATATAAGTTTTAGAAGAAATCAATCCATAGTATAAAAGAGAGAGCGAATAAAAGATACAAGAGAGAGAGAGAGAGAGAGAGGGAGAGATACAAGAGAGAGAGAGAGAAAGATACGAGGAGATAATGATACGAGAGAGACAGAGAGAGAAAGAGAGAAGGGGAAAGAGAGAGAGAGGGGGATTGAACGTGAAAGAGAAACAATGCTCGAGAAAAAGAAAGGCTTGTAACCTGTAACTTTGTTTCTTATCTAAAAAAAAAGTTGGTATTGAAAAAAAAAAAATCACCTGCAATAGGAGCGTGAGATTAAAACGAACTTTTAGATTACCATTACATAAACTGTAACGGGTGAGATAGGGGAGGGGGGATTTTTCTTTCTCATTCTGTTTCAATTATAGCACTCGACCATCGAACCATTTAATTCCAATCTATCGTCGAGCAGGGATCAAAAGTAAAACTAGAAAATGGCGCATGTGTTTTAAACTCCCGGAGACGGCGTAAAGAGGGAAAAATTTAGGCGTTGCAGGAACGCGATCTGATCAGAGGGTGGTAAGATTGAGCGAGGGGGTGATAGCGACTATATGGGCTGCCGGGACATTGTGAGGCACTTCAATACTTCAGGGCGGGGCGGGGGGAAGGGGGGAAAAGCGATAAAAGTTATCAAACGTTTGCAACCCGCTATACTAATCATGCTCATCATCGTTTCCCTTTACGTTGGCACGTTTCTCAGGGACGTAGGTGCGGGGCGTGGAAGAGACCTACGTGATGATAAAGTGATTGGTGTGTGTTGTGACACTTCAGAGAAACCAGTGGCGTAGCTAGGGTGGGGGGGGGGGAGGGGAATTTGAAAATCTCTCGGCCTCCACTTTAGGGAGGGGGGCACATGAGTGTTTTTTACATAAAAAATTTAAATAATACTCAAAATGTAGGGGCGCCCACATGAGTTTTTTTTTTACATTAAAATTAAATATTACGCAAAACGTACGGGCCCACCTGGGCCCCCAAACGATGGAAAAGTCCTAGCTACGCCCCTGAGAGAAACGCTGTAGGCTTCATACGAAACAGCGGACAATAAAGGACTCTAGAGGACCATGTCCATGGACCGTAGTGGAAAATCACTAAGAGGGGTCTCTCTCTCTCTCTCTCTCTCTCACACACACACACACACACACATATATATATATATATATATATATATATATATTCACTGCATTTACTGTAAAGACTAATGTTATATAAATATTGCATAAATATTTCCTTTCAATTTAAGCGTTATATATATGCCTAATTGCAGTGGCGTACCTAGGGTGGGGTGAAGAGAGGGGGGGGGGAGAAATTCTGCACAGCTGGATTTTTCAAACAGCACTGTACTTAGTGATGCCTGGGATTTTTAATTACGGAATCTTTAGGGCGCCTCTGAGTCTACCCAGCTTAATGGACACCTGACACTAGTTGGGGGAAAGTAAATTTCTCGTCTGCTATAGGGCTTCTATATCTACTGCCCTATAGATTGCAAGGCAAGATTTCCCAACAATGCTATTCATGCGTAACTATCATATCAAAATCTCCCCAGAAAACAACGAATTGCTATAAAGGTGCACACCGTAAAATGTGCTTAGATCTAGATACGTATACTTTTGTACACGCTTCAAATTTGTCATGCAAGAATTAGCACGCTACTGTGCGGCAGTGAGTCGTGGACTACCTACACAAAACAAGAGAAAACTAAACTCATTCCACTTGCGCTGCCTTCGGAGGATCTTAAAAATAACATGGAAAGAAAGAGAGTGTAATACTGAGATCTTCGCGAGAACGGGCCTTCCCAGCATCTTTACTGTCCTCAGGCAACGCCGCCTGCGCTGGCTGGACATGTTCGCCTGATGGAGGACAATGGCATCCCGAAAATCATACTGTACGGGCAACTTGCGTCTGGCTCAAGAAAAAAATGGTCTCCGCCACACCCGTTACGTGGATGTGATAAAACGGGATTTAAAATCAGTGAAAATTGATACTGACCATTGGGAAGACATAGCCTTAGACCGCACTCCTTGGGGAGAGACGGTGACCAAGAAAGCTATGGACAGCAAAAAACATGGACCTAAGCTCTGGAAGAAAAGCGTGCCATACGGAAAGTGGCCAGCTCCTATACCACCAAAGCGAAAGCCACCTTGACATGCAATGTATGTGGACGGAGGTGTCTTTCCAAAATAGGGCTCCACAGCCATATGAAAAAGTATACCAGATGTACAATAGTCGTTCTACGACTGAAGGAGCCCAATAGAACAGGCTTTTTTTTTTCGGATCTGTATCTGGGTACCAATGTTAATGAGGGTGTCGTGTGTCCTGGACAACGATCGTTTGACAGTTTATAAAATAAACAGCGGTTTTGAGATTATTCAATTTAGCTAAAATATACTCAATACTCTCCAATTAAAACATCGACACTAGGCTATTAAATAATGCTTAATACCCTGCAGTATGGGTTTTTCCGGCCTTATCAGGATATTGTTGATACAACTGTTATTGGAGAAAGTGACTTAGTACCAAGCTAGGTTATTTTTCTCTATGCACATACTTCCACGCCCACTCACACTTACACACACACACATACATACACACACACACACGCAATCATACACATACGAAAAAGTATTCAAATTCCACGACAGCCTAACAAGAGACCACTAAAGTTGCCCATTTTTTGAACCACTCCATAACGTCAGCGTCTATGCCGTTAGGACTTTTTTGTTTTGTTTTTTCTTTACTAACCCAAATATCAATGCGTTATATTTGATAAGGTGAAGATATTGTGCATTCTGAAAAGGTGCTGCCAACGCTGACAAATTGTTCCGTACGTTTTTGTTTGTTTGTTAAAGAAATATCCCACGAGGACTCTTGAAGTTGTCATGAAAAGAAAAAAAAAAGTGAAAGTTGGGACCAAAAGGGATTTAAAAAAAAAAAAAAAAAAAAAAGACCTCCCTCTCCAAAACACACAAAAGTGCTTGTCAGACACAGTGCATTGATAACGTGTTGGAACCTGTTAGGTTGTCTTTAGAGAGAGAAGGAACAAGTGAAAAAGAGTATTAGAGAGAGATAGAGAAAGAGAGGGAGAGAGAGAAGGATGGAAGAAGAAAGAGAGAGAAATAGAGAGAAAGAAAATGAGGAAGAAAGATCTTTTTATTATCTCAAAACATAAATATGCAAACAGTAAGCACACATTAAAATAAGCTAAAATGAATAAATTAAAAATTTATAATTTATTTACATTCCAGAAGTGTACTTTGAAAACAGGCACACACAAACTTTCACAAAGTTAAATTGTAGGAAATGTCTCGTAAAAATTCTATAACTGGCTTGTTTCCGTACATTGGCAATATAACTGCAAGACGTCTGTCAAGTTGGAGGTACTTTGTCTTGCTAGCGGCTTTACTTCGTTCTCCAGCAGTGTACCTCAGAATCTTGTTCTCAGTGTTCTCCTATTCTCTGAGGAAGTGAGAGATTAACTTGTACACATTGAGGCGATGACCGTCGATAGACAGCTGAAATGTATGGTGCCATCCATGCACTGAATTGTTTGTTCGTGGTAGATAGTCCTGTACTCTATCTCTAACATTCCATAAAGCTATCGGAAATCTTGGAGTCACTCTGCGGTTTCGTCTCTGGCGACCAATATAGTTGTCCTCCCAATAGTCATACAAATTCCCTACAACATATGGCCAAGGTCATCTAGATCTTCGCAGTATTTATATCGGTGGAACAAATGAGATTAAACAAACATTTGAAGAGATAAGTGATCGCAAGCTTAACTTATCCTGACACGCCTAAGTTCGCCCTGGTTTGATCAAAGAGAGATGCCGCAGATAATCAAGATTTCTAATTATACTCTGACACACATGTGTAACACATCATCATACCTAACCATTGAACAGGGTCACCACAATTAATAATCATTATTATATTTTTAGGAGAATGAGATAAAATTGCAAATTTCTCTGCAAATATGGCATACTTCTAGATCTATTAAAATTGAAGAAGACCGAGATCTAGACAAAAATGCTGCCCAGGACGTTCACTTACATAAATCCGGAACTTGTATATACACATCAAATAGAAGTCCGCGCTATTTTGTCGGCGCTATTTTGTCGGCGCTATTTTGTCGGCACTGTTTTGTCGTCGCTATTTTGTCGGCGCTATTTTGTCCGAGCTATTTTGTCGGGTCACCTTAACACTAGATAGCCACCAACCAATCTCTTTCTTCTAACCGCTACCGTAGATACACACACAGACGCACTGTCCATGACGGTATAAAATGTTAATGTAATCAATATTAGGTGTAAATAAATAAATAAATAAAAGATCTTATTTCATCATACGCCTTCCTAACTCTTCATAGGTTCATTCTTAACCTAGGATAGCCAGGCAAGTGATTTGAACACAAGCCTAAATTACGCAGCCGGACAACAGCAAGATGACATTACTGGATACATTTTCCTGGCTTATACCTGGGATCGACTGGCATACATTACACGAACTACAAACAATTACATCTCTGAGTCCGGCGGAACTGTTTTCACTAACAGGAGAAAAGGCGAATGCGAGTAACTGGCACCAAAACCTGTAAGCTTTAGCAGGAAGGGCTCGTTATTGCTGGCTACCCACTTAGAAGAAGGAAAACTCTGAATTCACACCTCTGCTGCCCTGAAGCTATTTCCAATCATGGGAAAGGATTCGGAAAGGAAAACCCTGAGGAAAAATCAGGAGCCGGCGAGCCTTATGCAGTTTGCAGCACTTTGTGCTACACTCTGGTAGAGACAGCGACGCAACTGACCCCCAAACTGTATCGGCACTTGTCATTCTTTTGGAAACATCAGCTGCGTGGATAAAGCGGGGGACTAATGCTTGGACGACATTGTTCCGACCACAGCTAATGAGATGATCTTTAGTCGCTTCGTGACTGAAAGAGGCCATAACTTTGAGTGTGTCGCAATATTTTAGGCTTCGACAGTAACTAAAGACTTTTCAAAAAATAAGTTCAAGGACATTCGCGTTGGGAAAGTGAGTACGTGTGGGGGGATGTGTGGGAGGACGTGTGGGGACATGCAACGGGAAACAATGAGCAACCAAACAATGATGAACTATGAATAAGTTCAGATTTGTGAGCCCTACTCTTAAGAGGCATTCCACATGTAAGGCAGGTGCAGTGGCATTCGTTTTGCTAGAAGAGGAGCAAGCTATTTCTTCCAAAGCTGAGGCCGATGAGGTTTTTGACTCCGAGCCAGACACTGCACGTATGTTGTATGCAAGTTCCATCAGTATGGTGAAAAAAGTATAAAAAATGGGTTGCCTGAGCTAGCCAGGAAAACCAGTGACTTGGCAAAATTTAAGTCATTGGTTAATATGCATGACGCGAAGAACGTAATCATCTTCTTTTTGGAAGTAACGTCTGTATTATATAAGATAAGAAGATAAGAAGTATTATTCAATGTAGAAAATTTACCACATAATGGTATTACTTGTATACACAGCCACATATTGGTATAACTTGTGTATACACCCAAGCAATGGTATGAATTGTATATTAAACTACAGAAAGGTATAACTTGTATATTCAACCATACAATGGTATAACTTGTATGCAGCAATCTTTTTTAAATTAAATACTTAATGCAACTAGGAAGAGAGTTTGGCGTCAAAAAAAAGTAATAAGAAAGAGATATAGATAGTAAACAAAAGTAATATAAGTGAGATATAGATTGAAAAAAAAAGTAATATAATTGAGATTTAAATTGAAAGAAAAGTAATATAAGTGAGATTTAGATTGTAAAAAAAAGTAATATAAGTGAGATTTGGATTGTAAAAAAAAGAAAGTAATTTAAGTGAGATTTAGATTGTAAAAAAAAAAAAGGAATAGAAGTGAAAGTTAGATTTAAAGAAAAGTACGATTGACCTTGACCTGTTTAGATCCAGATTCAGCATGATTAAAACCCCGAATTGTTCTATCAATAGTTAAACTAATTAACCGTTATTTAATTGGAGCAGGACTAATCTCTAATTATATTATTTGTTGTTTCCTTTAGGGCCCACTTGAAACTTAAGAAAACATAATTACACAAAGTCTACATTAATTACACCAAGTCTACCTTAAAAAAAGGAATCCAATAAAAAATGCTGAAGATCAAAAGAACTGAGGCTTTACCGCAACGAACTTTGAAATATTTTTTTTTTGGGGGGGGGGGGGGGGGGGGGGGATTAAGGCAGAAATATGTTCAACTTTAAGAAGAGGTGCTCCTAATACCCTGCTCCACCAGGTACACAATACCTAGTTCCAGCCCCTACAATTCAGCCATCGACTTAAAAAAAAAACAGTCTCCAATGCACTAAAGGCTCCAATCTTGACTAGGCATTCGGCTGTCTGACATGACAACCTGTCTTTCACGCATGAATGAGTCCCCTAAATCAATACCAGCTGAGTTATTTATCAAGCGAGAACAAAGAGAAATGAAAAAAAAAACACAAAACAAAACAACACACTATCAATGCACTCCCGAATATGAGGCTTATTCGGGGACCAGAACAATTCCAGAGATTACTGTAAAGTCCTATGTGCACTATGTACCTAGCAAGACCTCTGTTCGAGGAGGATTTAAACATCTAAACTTAATAACTTTTTAACGACGTCTCGTTCTTGATGTTTTTCAATCCGTTTTGGCTTTTAAAAGGCGATATTGTAATTGTAGGTTGGTTGATGCCTGTAAAGATAGAAAGTTTATTACCATGTATAATAATGCCCATTAAAAGAAATGTAAACAGCCAATACATCCTTATGCGACTACTACAGAGTTAAGTGTTAGAAGACAGAAGCGACATAAAGCTACTTTGGATCAACACTAACAACTGGGATACAATAAAAGCACAGAATAAGCCCATAAGCCCATATGGAGTTTAGATTGATGATGAACACACTAGAATTAGGAGAAAGGCTGAAAACACTGCAGCGTCTGGTAATATCAAATGCCTATCATGTGAAGGACTTGAGCCGAATTTTCCTGTAAGTTACACTAGCTATAGCTTGGGGGGCCCCAAGAAACAATAAAAAGGGACCTCAAAACAGTGAACATTGATACTAACCCTTGGAAAGATATAGTAGGCAGGGCCGGTCCTACAGGTTGCGGGGCCCTATGCGAAACGGATTGCGCATAGGGCCTAATTTGGGTTGTGATAAGGATAATAAGGGAAAAATAAGATTTTGTATTAGAAAATAAATTCGTCTTTGCATTTTATTCATTCTTTACTAAGTACAAAATCAGTGTCTAATTAACTTTACGAGCCATCTCCAGTAGATAGGAGTTTTACAACAAAAAGAAGATAAACATTCAGATTTGCATTTTAGATTTAAAATCGACTAGCGAGTAAGATTGGCGTTTTCCATATTGAATGACAACCCCGAAATGAAATTTTGTCTGTTTTAAGGAGATTTTTATAATTCCAGAAGATTTTAATAATTTCAGGAGAGTTTCATGACTTTTTCTTAGATTTTTTCATTTCAGAATTCCTGGAACCTTTTAATAATAAGTTAAAATGGTTTAATTTAATAATTTACACCTAGAATTTGCATCGCGCGGGGCCTTATGAGAGTGCGGGGCCCACTGCGGCCGCATAGGTTGCAGTGGCTTAAGACCGGCTCTGGCCCTAGGCCGCACTACGTGGAGAGAGATGGTGACCAAGAAAGCCGGGCCTCAATTCTAACAGAAAAGCATGCCATACGAAAAAAAGGAATAATAGCCGGCTTCTCTACCACCAAATCAAACGCCACCTTATCCTGCGATCTATGTGGACCGGAGTGTCTGTACAAAATAAGGCTTCATCCACAGCCACATGAAAAGGTGTATGAAATGAACCGTAGTCGTTCTACATCTTACTGTGAGAACATTGGAAATGAATTGGCGCAACAATCAAATATTATCCTTCTATGGTCTAAATTCTAGCAGACGTAGACATAAACAGGTAAGGAAAGCTACCTTTACCTGTTGAGTTTCATTGTAAATTTTAGATACCTTAAGTCAAGTATGTCTGTGAAATAGATCCGGGCGGAGTGAGTGAAATATTGTCGTCTGCAAAAGTGCCCTGATGTTTTAATAACCGTATCAGTGTCCCATCTGCAAGGAGCTGGAGCCGTTGGACAAACATGGCGACTGCCCGCCAAAAAGATTCTTAGTGAATGTGAAGAGTGGGCTCTTGTTTACCATCATTTGAACGGAACTACTTTAAAAAAAAAAATTGCCTCGAGTATGTAATGTGATCTTCCGCTGCGACACTGACAAAGATGAGCCGATGAAAGTGCCCCGTTCCCTGGGCCCTTTTTGTGTGTTTGTTGGCGAAGTCATTTGTTAATGACCCAATGTAGACAGGTTAAGTGGTTGCTGAAACTGGATCTGATTGCTCACGTGCAGGACGTCGTTTCGGGACCTAAAAGTCATTTGAAGTTGTTTTTTTTTACCCCAACGATATAGAGTAATATAGACACAAGCAACAGAATTAGACTGTAGTATGGGATCAGTGGCGTAACGAGGAGTGGGCGCACGGGCAGCCACCCTGGCCGCCGGAATGTAGAATTTAAATGGATATCAAAAGACTACATAAAATGTGGAACTCTTTTCGCTACATTCGTTAACTTCGTTTGTGTTATATGTAAGTTCCATTGGCTACGGCCTCGCTTCTGTTCCAAGCGTCTTGGGATCGGAGCCATCGGTATAAAGGGATGTAACAAATTTACATCTGCTTAGATTTTTCCCAGATAGAACAGTTCGTTCAGACAGGCAGATGGTGGCGAGC